GCTTGAGCCAGCGCTGCTTTAGACAGTGTACCAGGAGCCTCTGAAGGCTGAGAGGCATGCAAGGATTCCTGTTCTCAAGCTTACCAGCTAGAGAGCACTAGTTCTGCTTGCCTTTGCAGCCATTTTGAAGTCCTTTGGGGGGGGGGGGGGAGTACTGGGGGGCTGTTGGACAGGATACAACACACACATAGGCATCTTCACAAACTTTAAAGTTCTGTGAGATAATGCAAATGAAAACTTTGCTTAGAGGTTCATGATAAAATTTAAAGAATGAAATAAACATTTAAATATAAAATCTGGGTGCTAATTAAAGGTTGTCAGTAAAACCATGTGTTAAGAACCAAGATTTAAAAAAAAAAACACTTTTTGATTCTATTTGACAACTAGATTCAAGTTATCCTGGTCTTTTCCTTTTTCTTCTGACTACAGGAAAAGTTTCTAGTTACAGCTGAGCAGGTGGGCTAGTTGTCTAATTTTTTTCTATTTAGACAGCCTCTGTTGTCACAGACATGTTATGATGCACATGTGAAGGCACATGCTTGCATGATCATAAGTGTCCCTGATTTGGGATCTTTTTACAGTATGGTCCAAACTAACAAGTCCTTCTTATAGGATCCTTTTCTATCTCTGGATTCAAAAGTAAATGTTTCCGTGTGTTTGACCTTTATTATCCGTTAGGTAAAGAATCAACATACTGTATCTAATTGAGGTATCTGTTTTGCAAACATTAAAACAGTGTTCTCTGGTAGAGTGCCATGGCTCACCTAATTTTTATAATGAGTCATTATGGTAGCCTGTTCTATGTCTGAAAGAAGTTCAGTGAATGATTTCGCAACCTCCCTCTATCACCCTAGGCTTATAAATCCATTAAACGTATATTAACTTTTCCAGAAAGCAATTGTATCTGCATTCTTGGTTCTCCAGCATTGCTGTATAACCAGTAAAGCTTTTGCTGCTCTGATTCAATAGATGAAACAAGTCTACATTGAGTTCTTCATATAGTTACTTCAGGATCGTACTTGACATTCAGGCCTGTCATACAATCTGCCAAGATCTTTACTGAAGTCATTTGGCAGTCTAGTTTGTCATCCAGTACTACAGTAGTGTTGTGCTGTTTGTTAGCTTTAGTATCGCTATAGATGTACACATGTATTAGTGCTGATACTCTGAAGCAAGGAGTGATGGGTGGCTTTTAAGAAGGAAGGTCCAAAGTACACATTGGGTAATGTTGTAAGTGCTTGTGGTTTAGCATGTTAAATTGTCTTACTTGATAATGTTTTTCATTGCAACTCAGTGTGATGTAAATAAGAGGAATTTGTCAGTTGCTGATTTGAATTGGGGTCTGAAAGGTCTTCAAAACCATGGAACTTCAAGCAATTGCTTTTGTCTAAGACCAGCCCTAATCTTTCATAGGTCACAAAATTCTGTCCCCTGAATTAGCAATGAAATTAAAGTATAATATTTTAAGGGATTAAATCATTTTTAAAAACCTGTTGAAATGGAATGCTTTCCCCCCATTGTTTAAAATGTGCTTGCTTCTTCAATCTCATTTAGGCTGCTTGGAGTCTTAAGACACGAGCATTAACAGAAATGGTTTATGTTGATGAAATTGATGTGGATCAGGAGGGGATAGCAGAGATGATACTTGATGAAAATGCCATTGCTCAAGTTGCACGTAAGTACAAAGCTTTCACATAAATGTATTAAAATAGCTCAAGTTTCTTAAGGCAAGACTCCTCTAATAGCTGATTGCACATAAATGCACTGACCTGGCATTAGCTTTCAGGTGCTACCACAGCTCTATGTGGGCATCAATAAAAATGTCATTACTTAAGACATGCTGGATCCAAGTAGAATAAAATCTTTGTTACAGTAATTAAACTGGAGTTCTAAAGAGCCCACATATTTTAAGCAGGATAGTATACATTAGGATGAATCTTCCAAATCAGTGCTTTAGTCTGTCCTGTGGGTGGACCATAGATGTGGAGTGTACTGTATGTACCTGATTTGGTACCTGGGCTCTTCAGTTAAAGCAAAAATCCATTTTCAAGTCAAGAGTTCAAACAAGTGGTACTTTATTAGCCCTCTCCCCCAGCCCGGAAGTTTAATCCTTTTCTTGTCAGTACTGTACCACTTCTCTTAATTTCATCATTGTGAGATACAGGAAGGGGCATATGCCCTAAACCACAGGTGGACAGTTAGTTATTTCAGCTGGAGAGCCACTAAATGAGTTTTGGTGAACTGTTAAAGGCTGCGCACACAAAATCTTTTAGAAGATATCATTTTAACAAATTATAGATAAAAAAAATCAGATACTAAAACATATTTTATTTTTACTTAAATTTATTTTTTGTCCTGATTTTTGGTTTTTTTGTAACATATATTGAGGTGATTGTATAATAGCTCAAAATAAAGTCTTACTCTTATATATTGGGGGGGATGTATATATGGGGGTGCGTATGGTGTTGGGGGCAGGAAGGTGTGGGTGTGTGTTGGGTGGGTGTGTGTGTGTTCGGTGGGTGAGTGTGCGTGTGGAGGGCTGTCTGTGTGCTACATCTTGGGAGTGGGTCCAGGATCAGGAGAGGGAGGGAAGGAAAGGACAAAGGGACATATGCAGCAGAACTTGCCAGGGCAATGTGGTGCAGGGGCCAAGCCCCACCTGCTCCTGCCTGGGGCAGCCTGTGCTGCACTTCTGCCCATGTCTGCCAGCCCTGGACAGCATACAGAGCTTCCCAGCAGGGCTTGGCTACTCCTACCTCAGCAGCTCCTCCTGCCCCTGCTGCATGGCTTCAAGCTGGGGGAAGCTGTGGCCAGCAATTCCAGGGTGCATAGGGCTCCACTTCTTGGCTGCCTTCTGCCCACTTGGTGACCTGCAGGTGTCTGCTCATCATGTTAGGTGGGCAGATTGGGTAGAAAGTGGGCGGAAGCTGGAGCCCAGCATGCTGGGGCAAAAGCCATCCAGCACCAGCTTCCCTCTCTGCCTGGGGTGGCACAGCAGGGGCAAGAGGAAGAGGGGCAGAGCTGCTGGAGTTGCGGGGAGCTGAGCAGCACCCAGGCAGCTGCATTGGGAGCAGCCCCACCAGGAAGCTGTATCTGCTGGCCAGGACTGGGGCTGGCATGGTGCTATCTGGCAGGTGCAGGGCAGGAGTGCAGCGTGAACTGCCCTGCACAGAAGCGGGCATGGCTTGGCTCCATGTGGAGCATTGTAGGGGTGGCCGCTGGCTGGATTCAATCAGTTGGTGGGCCAGATCTTTGGATCTGCATTAGACCAACTAAATAGTTGCAAAAAAGTTGTTATTTACAAGCTTTTGGACACACGTCCTGCATCAGGAGAAAAAAAATTAAAAATGGAGAGAGAAATTAAAGATGGCCAGAAAACTCTCAGGTATGAAAAAAGCCAGTCTTAGTTGTTCTGCAAGAATGCAAATGTAGAGGAGATGCAGGAGACAAAGGCAGGTTGTTTACCTGTAGGTATCAGATGTCAGGCAGGCTGGGGGGAGGGGGGGGCGGGCATAAACTCGATGTTAAAATTTTAGGGCAAATTATTAATATTGGCTTTTTTCTTCTTCACGTTGTGAAGTTTCCATTTCGAATGGCAACATTCAATATCTTCCATGTTTCAGGAATCTAGGCTATAGCCATGTTGGTCTAAGCACAGATTTCATCTGCCTCTGTTCTCTGGGCACATTTTGTCTGCCTCTGTGCTCTGACCAATGAGGCTTTCTTTTATATATAAGCTGGTCCCCAACGCTCTTTGCTAGTTAATTTTTAAGCCTCCTATTTGGCTGTCCAGCCTGGACTTCCCGGTCAGTTGTCCTCTACCCCTGCTAGTCCCACAGCAATCTGACTTACCATACATTATATCAAAATTGTCCTTCACAACTGAAGTACTTCCATTGCACTGCATCACTTCTCCACTTTCTGCTACTTTCAGGCCTCTGCCATCTTCTTCAGACCATCAGCACTCTGTTCCAGCAGCCCCTCTGACTCAGGTGCTTTAGAGCCTTCAGTATTTAGCTTTCATTTGGCAAGTTGATGGCTGGTTCTGTTACAGAGTCATGGAGGGGTGAAGCAAGACACGGGTGAGCCCACAACCTTCACCCCTTGCTACCCTAGCACCTCAGTAATGGAGAAAGAACATCCTGTTATAGGCTTTTTCCTAGTGCCTTCTGCACAGCACATTTTGTTTTCTTACCAGTTCCTTTGTCAATGAGGAGTCAATGTCCATTTTAAGTGCTTCTCCAATATCTCTGTCTGTCTAGTATTGACATAAATCTGTCTTTTATAATTTCCCAAAAGGCCCAATTCTGAGTCACAAGATGAAAGGGTAGGTAAGAACCAGACAGAGGTCAGAACAAAACATGTGAGCCCCATAAATATTTGAGTTTCATGCTTGGTTACATGCCAAAAATTAGGCAGTACCAAAATTGAGCTCATATATGATGATAGTCTAAAATGTATTTGTCTCAAGTGTAAAAAAAATTTAGAGACCTGCACTAGATTTGTGTGGCCCTCTGAGGTGGAGACTTTCTGCCAAGAAAAATAGTTGGATACAGATGGGTATTCTTGAGAAATAAGACATTCTGGAAAAATGTAGTCACTCTACAGTTGAAATGGGGACTAAGAAGAAAGTAATTTGCTGGGTGGTATTTGATAGATTTCAAGGCCAAAAGGGAGCCATTATGATAGTCTTACTTTGAACTGTATAACAGACAGTATAGTACATATATTTTTTACAAAAAACAGTCCTTGCCAAATTGTTCCAATAGTTAATTCAGCTCATGATTACAAGAACAGTCCTTATTTCTAGTCTAAAATGGCTAGGTACAAATGTTTAAAAAAGCTAGAGGCAGACTTGATCTAAGTTACACAATTTTCTGTAAGCGGCATAGTTTAGATCAGTAACAAACAGAACAGAGATTCACCTTTTATTGCGGGGTGAGGCTAATCTGTGTGCCGAACTTCTGTTCTGTTATGGGTATAGACTGATTTCTGATCACTTATACCAGTAACAGTGTAATGTCTGTACCTGGAAAATATGTCTAACTCCAGATTCCAGCTGTTAGTTCTTATTAAACCTTTGTAAGCTGGACTGAAGTTCCCTCTACTTCAATTTCCTATTCTTAATGTAAATACAGTAAAAGTTCCATTAACTGGCACCTTACAAGCTAGCATACTATATTAACCGGCATGCTGGCTTGTAAGGCAAAGTGAAACCAGAAGTGCCCACCATGGCACTTCCAGTTTCACTGAATCCCCATGGCCTGGGGGCATGACAGGCTGTGTGGGGCCCGCCTCCCTGTCTCATGGGGCCTGCAGGGCCCTCAGGGGGGTCGGCAATGCTGCGGGAGGGTCAGCGACACCCTGGATGCAGCGGGAGAAGTGGCGGCCCAAACAGGCAAGTACACCTGTTCGGGCCGCTCAGTTAACCAGCATATTTTAATTTGGGCCGCTCAGTTAACCAGCCGCTCAATTAACCCAGGAATGGGGGATGCCAGATAATGGAGCTTTTACTGTACGTAAAGATTTTGGTCAAGTAGCTCGTTATTCTTCTATTTATTCTGAATTTTGCAAGCTCATAAAGTTTCTCACTATAAGGCATATGTTTCAACCTCATGGCTCTTTTCTTAACATTATCAACTTTCTTGTTGAATTTTGATCACAACAATTATACAGAGTTTCTGTACAGTAACAGGGGCACCAGTGCACAACTCTGACTACCATATTTACTCCCATACCAGATGCATCCTTTCCAAATAAATTAACTGTTCAGAATTGGGGAGTGTTTGACATGGGCTAGTTGATTTTATGCCCAGAATAGAAGTAATGGCATTTCTATTCAGGCGTCACTGAGGGAATCGGTGCTTATTATAATCCACTTGACTTGCAAATTTCTCTTCCCTCCACAAGTGTTAGCAATCTCTCTCCTTCTTGATGGTCTTGATGTTCCACTAATCAAGGTAGTCTGTCATTCACAACTTTGCGTTTTGTTACTGGCTCTTGGTCTCTCTCCTATTTCACAGCCCTGTAGACTTTTCTTTTTAGCTTTTTTCAAAATCCTAGATTTCCAATGAAGTCTAGTCTTTAGCAGCAGCTGCAGTTTCGGTTTTTGGCTCAATAGTCAAAAGCTGCTGACAATTCATCTGAAAAAGGGTTAAAATTATAGCTTTTGGCTGAGTAGGAAAGGGAAGGTGAGAGCAAGCTTAAAATTCCATATCTCTAGAAAAATCTTTTTTTCCCCTTCATAGGCTCTTGCACACTTCATGCTCCTTGTTTCTGGGAAGGCAGAATGGTGTGCATTGTCTGTTCTTCCACTTGATATTCCCCTGCTTATTTATCCAACATTTCATTATCTCCTTTACTACATTATATTAGGAATTTATGTGTAGGTGATTATCCACCAGATCTTCTTCAGAGTCACTGCTTTCCAGAATAGTGTCCCCCTCTTTGTTCTTAGATGCATTACTTTACAACTGGATGTATTAAAACACATATTGCTTGTGCCCTGCTACAGTCACCCCAAAATTCTCCGTAGTCCCCTCAACCCTCCCTCCCAGTGTGTCAGTCTGGTCCAGCCCCCACCAGGAAGAGCCCAGCCCAGCTCCAGTCCCAGCCCACAGCAGTAGCCCACCCTGCCCTACACAGATCCAGGGGGCACATGCCCCCCATGCCTTC